ACGTAGAAACTTACATCCATTTAATCACATTACATCAGTACAAAAAGATGAAATTATCAAAATAAATGTCAGAGTAATACAATTACTAGCAGTATTATCAGTGGTAATAGAAAAGATGAATCATAGGCTATATGATTCAAGAAGAAAGGATGAATTTATAAAACAAAGATATAAGATAATGTTAAAATTCACGATCTAAGTAAAGGCAATAACTAGATAGGTCTGCACTATTGTGACCTATTTGTAAACATATCACCTATCATCTTCAGTCATTGGTTACAATAATTGTTTATACCTCAAATCAATTTCTGAATGTAAGCAACGTAAATACTTTATTTTAAAAACATGCTTTTGTAAAAGAGGATTTTATTTTCATTTTGTCTTTGTGTTTGAAACATGGAAAGATTTTGAGTGTTTAATTATAATTACTTACGCCTGTTACTCCTTCTGAAGGAGCATTGGCCGCCCACCAGAAGTCTCCATTCAATCCTGTCCTGGACATTCCTTTCCAGCTCCTTCCAGTTGTTATTCATCCTTTTCATATCTGCTTCTATTTCACGACGTAATGTGTTCTTTGACCTTCCTCTTTTCCACTTCCCTTCAGGATTCCAAGTTAGAGCTTGCCTCGTGATACAGCTTGGTGGTTTCAGTAATGTATGTCTTGTCCATTTCTAACGTCTTTTCTTAACTTCCTCTTCAGCTGGAAGCTGGTTTGTTCTCTTCCACAGTAGGCTGTTGCTGATGGTATCTGTCCAACGGACATTGAGTATCTTTCTTAGACAATTTTTTATAACTACTTGTACCTTTTTGATAATGGTTGTATTAGTTCTCCACATTTTGGCTCCGTATAGTATGACTGTCTTGACGTTCGTATTAAAGATTCTGACTTTAATAATGGCTGACAGTTGTTTTGAGTTCTATATGTTCTTCACTTGTAAGAATGCGGCCCTCGCTTTGCCAGTCCTCGCCTTTACTTCTGCATCAGATCCTCCTTGTTCATCGATGATGCTTCCCAAGTACGTGGGGGATTCCACATCTTCCATAGTTTCTCAATCAGGTGTGATTAGTTTGGTGTTCTTCGTGTTGTATTTGAGGATGTTGCTTTTTCCTTTATGTACGTTGAGGCCTAGTGATGCAGAGCCTGCTGTTATACTAGTTTTCATCTACATTTGTTTGTGTGTATGCTATAGGAGGGCTAGGTCATCTGCAAAGTATAAATCGTTTAATTGGTTCTGAGCTGTTCATTGAATTGCGTACTTTCCCTCAGGTGTCGAAGTCTTCATAATCCAGTCAACCACCAGAAGAAAAAGAGAGGGGGAGATTAGACAGCCTAAATTTACGACTAGCCAGTTTCTAATTATCTCAACAATATTAGAGTTATCAATTTGTTGTTCTTAATTACTCAATCGTCTAAATACATAATGTGATCATACCAGAATAATCGGTTATAACATGGATATAAACTTTTCCGGTGTTTTGTAAGAAGACAAACGTTTTCTAGGAAATATTCTAATCAGAATTATGCACCTATAGACTAAACTTCTCGATAATTAATTAACCCTCTATGTAGAAAAAGATTTTTTGACATGTTAGTTTACTTCAATTGATGTTTCCATAGCAGAAATCCTAAAAGAGAAAATTTTCAGCTAATATCCCTCGGAATAACTCGTTTTGTTATCAATATTAAGATCATTATGTTATATCTGGTACAATTTAAGTTTATCAATAACGTTAAGAGAACAGCTTTCAAATGTTATCATTGATTTCAAAATGACCGATCTTTTTACATATTTTGCAGAAACGTTTTAGAATATCTAACTTAAATGTGAACCTATAAATACTTTTTTCTATACGTAAACTGACCTTAGAAGTAATGTTTCCTTCCATACTATCCATCTTTTGTTCAGCCGTGAGAGTTTCAAGTGTAAAAGATATCTGGAGTACTAAGAAGTGGTTAAAAGTTACTATCTTCCAGATTTATCCTAGTACCAGATAGATGAGAAGTGCTTAAATAGTCTGAATTATTTTTTCTGGTTAGCGTTAGCAAGTTAGTTTTCTACGGGATGGGGTTGCTAACCCCCTGCCCAACTTTCCTTCTTTATCCGGGCTTATGACCTGCAGTAGCCTCAGAGAGGCTTCAGGAGGAGAATGCTAGTCGACTGCCTATGCACCACTGGAAGTAATAGGCATAAGTAATTAAGTAAATATCTTGTGTGCTAAAATAGTCCATTTTATGACAACCTTATGAAAATTAGAAGTTATCTATGAACTTAATCAAGAAAAACATGTGTTACATTCAAATCACATGAGATAAACAACTTATGTTAGTAATTAAGTTATTTACGCTTAATATTTAATTCTTTTGTAAAAAAAATGTTAATCAGATTGTATACAACAATACTGAAGTGTAAATACATGAAGTAACATGTATCTAAATAAGTTTGTTTGCCTTTATTTTTCTCCTGTTCTGATCGAACCAAATTCAAATCATGTGCATAGTTGATTAGATCAATGGGTTTATTTAATATGACTTAATTTGATCTACCTTTGTTGTAATTTGTTCAACTGTCATTGACGTTTTATCTTTCTGCCCCCCCCCCTCACATTAAATTGTTGATAGATAAACAATTTATGTAACCTAGTTCATTTAAATTGATATCAGACCTTAACTATTGACATGAGTTGTCTAGGTAGGTGCAAACTATCTAGTTGAGTTTTGCGTAATCATGGTAACCACTGTTTAGAGATGATGGATGATGTTTTAGAATAAGTCAAAATCTTATAAATTCATTTACTTTTTACACTGTGAATTCATTCTTTCTTCTCAAGCCATTTTATCTATGCATAGTCTTTTATATTATTATTATTATTATTATTATTATTATTATTATTATTATTATTATTATTATTATTATTATTATTATTATTATTATTATTATTATCAGCTTTATTCAATATTATATTTTTGGTACAATATAGAATTCTCAGCGTAAAGTATTTCAACAAGTTTCCGTTTCTTTCTTCTTGGTCGGTCCTCGCGATAAATACTGAGTGATCGCCAGTTAGATGTTAGCAGTTCAGTAAATGAACATCTGAATAATGCGCATTCTTTCCGTTGTATATTGCCAGCAACCACATTGTCTCTTATTGAGTTTTCTGTAACTTTGACAACGAAAGGTTGTACACTTTTCAGAAACGCAGCAGAATAGGTTATGTGATTAATAAACATAGTGATATATTAAAACAAACAAAAATAGATAACTTGTTGAAATATCTAGATGGCAGGAACAGGTAGCCCACTACTTTGGTGTGTGCTACTTATATTGACATAAGTAGTATATAATCTTAGTCGTGAACAGAAGGTCTAGCAGAAGAGAGACAAGAGGATCGTACAGTAAGAATGGGAACATAATGCAATTTGTATGAAAATGCAAGAACAATGAAGTCTGAGTCATTTTGAGACAATTGATGGACATTTTGCAAATTAAGCATTTACTTTATGATTGTTAGATTTTATTAACAAATCCTTTAATTTTGTCCCACTGGTGTTCTTGTTCACTACACTACTACTGATAAAACTGCTAGTACTACTACTACTCTGACAATTGTTTTTTGCTTCTTCCATCTCTCTGAGATGTGCTTACATGAACCGATACAAAAGTGGTGAAATAGACTTGTTCCAGCAAGTAGTTAGCTAAATGATCATCCAGTATTAATTTGAAAGTCAGAATAATGAAATAGATTATTAAATTATCCGATCAGGCAAAGATAGGACAATTATAGCTTATACCAGTAGTTTAGACTACTAGTCATCGGTAGAGAAATTTTCCATAAGTTTGTTTTCTATGAAGACAGAGAGGAACTTACGAATAAATCATGCGGTTCAGAAAAGGAAACACTGTAGAAAAAAACCTTAAAGCACTGAATAATGGTAGCTGCCGATCAGCCACTGTAATATATACAGGTTTTTAAGCGTTTTTATCGGCCGAAATTGTATCCAATAATCTCCTATCCTAACTTTCCGAAACTGTAAATTTATATCCAAAGATGGATAGTGGTTAGCATTGGGATCCAGGACGTGCGCTTCGTCCTATTTGGGACACATCAGTTGCGTGTACTCTGGGACTCGAACCCATTACCGTTCGCTTCAAACGCCATCGCGTTATCTACTTAACTACTGAGTCCTGATAGCCACCTGTTTGTGCAATAGGGTGAAGTTTGATAAATCTTTATAGGACATTTAAAACTACATTTTACACTTTTTATTACTGGGATGGCAGGCTTTTGAAAGCTTTCTAATTTAAGTGATAATTTGAATCACATATATATGGATAGGCATAGAGACTAGTATAGAAATGCATTAGCCAAGTTACCGCTACCTAATTAGCACAACATGATGAAAATAACAAAAGAGATCAAAATAATGTAGTAACAGTGATAAAAGAAATACCTTGTAAATATGACAATAAAAATAATAATTTAATATCTCAATGAGTAGAGAAAATATCGTTATTTTTATTATCAGTACCCAATACTTAATTAATTTGAACCTATCAATTAGGTATGTATGAAAGGATACTTGAAATCGGGATTCACAGGAAAATAAAGAGTAAGTACAGTTACACCATGGTGAACTATTCTCAGCCATATCAACTAAGATTTCTAATAAATGTTAACTTCAATTAGCAAGTTTGCAATTACCAACATGGCTAAGATTAACAGACAATGAATTCGTGGACTGATGCCGCATTTTGATTTCACCGCGCCTCGTTTCCTGTCAATTGATTTCAACACTAACATGCACTACTCATCTAGGTAGGTGGTGGTTAGAGATACACAACAGGTATCGCAATTACCTTAGCCGGTGAAAATTCACTGTCACATTAACCTATTTAGCACCTCAGCTAACCGCAACATCGTCTCGTGGAACGCAAGCAATGCTTCTGAGTAACATACGACCAAAAATCTTCAACCCGTATATTTCTTTTTTTTCATAGACCATGTTTCACGACTATAAGGTAGGACAGAGTGGACCGTTTCATTGTATGCACGCCCTGTGAATGGTAGACGGACATTTCACCTACGTCACATGTAACACGAATTGGCAAACACCAACCGGGCTTTCTGAATCCGTGCTGAGACTTCATCCAACATCAATAAATTTTTTATTCCTGTTGAAAATGCTAAAGACCCCCTGAAGTTTCCGTCTCATCTTTCTCTTATTCGCATGTGGATTAATAACGTTAAGCCGTTTAATTATATTGGTTATGCTATCATTTCATAGTGGGAAGATTTACCGGTTGTTCGCGATTAGGAATTACTAAAAGCTATCTCGAGATCATAATGGTAACATAAAATATCTTTATATGGGAGCGGGCTATGGTCAGACTTGTTGCAAGGCTAGTGGTTCAACCACTAAGTCTATGTTCCACTTATAAATTTATACTAATTAGAAAATCACTGACAGACAATGAGTACTGAATTGTTGTTCTGTTCAAATTTATTGTTCGGCGAAAGGCATAAACATTCTAGGTTGATTCTATTGTTCAATTGCGTTTTCTGACTACTAGGAAGCTCCCCAAACAGAAATGAAATACATACTTAATGTTTTCCGCATTTTCTTCAGCTCCTCGCACTACTTAATTTCAGATAATCAGTCAAACTCCACACAAAAAATTAACTAATTACAATAATGTAAGCACAACCTGTTGGTATTTTTGTTTTTGTCTACCTACTTTTTTTAGTACATTCTGTTGCCAAATATGATGACATGATTCAATCAACTACAAAACACAATTCTTCATATTTCATTCGCTTGTTTAAAATGATACTTCTTAATGGCTCTTAAAACAATTGTCACTTTTGTTTTACAATCAAAATAAGCCTACTTTGATATTTTGAGAAAATAAATACGGTATTGAATCTAAGGTCTATATTTACTATCTTTAAGTAACCTTACAGTAACACGCACATTTTTAATATAATCGTAGTGTAGTTATTTGCGTATTAAGATGAATCCGATTAGTTCATGCAGTACTTTTTTTTCTATTGATGATTCATTTGATCAAATGAAGAGTACATGGGTCATGTCAGGTTTCTAACAATTTGTATCTTAAATAAGATCATGGAATGATCATGGTTGAATAACCTCCCAAAACCAGAAATCATTGGACAGCTGTTTCGTCTTTGTTTGGGACTTTTCAGCAGTATGTATCTACGACCCTACCACGATGCTTTTGTGGTGCGTGCTACTTATATTGATATAAGTAGTATATAACGTGAGTTAAAAGAACTTAATGTCTGGCAGCAGAAGATGGAGAAGATCAAGAAAGGAAGAGCGAGAACACAATGGAATTTGTAATAAATCGCATGAACAATGAAATGTGAGACAATGGATTGAGGTTTGCAACAGCAACAGTCCAGTTTGATTTGATGGAATGATATTTTGCAAATTAACGATTTACTATATGGTTTTTCTATTTTACCAAGTAATTCTGTAATTTGTGCCAACCATTGGTTTGCATGTTTAACTCCAATTAATTTGTAATGTCAAATAACCATTTGTCAATATAATAAGAGTGGAATAGCCTCACATTTGACTCAGTTGAACTCCAATAGTTACGGCTTCTCAATAAAACTCCGTAATTAACTCTCTAAGTTAATCATGCTAGTGTTCTAGACATTAAGCGTTTGCTCAAGAGACCAAAGATCATGGTTTTGTATCTTGGTGGCAGGTTTGCAGATGCTCACTGCTGAGGAATCTCATAATGTGACGAAACAATCACCCAGTTATTCCTAGTTTTCAGTGGATTTTTGTAACTAAGATCGTTCCGTGATATTACACATGAGACTGGAAAATCTCCATAAACCTCTACATTAATCTATACTTCGTAGTTTTCTTCCCTTTTTTTCCCTAATAATTTACTGTTTAATGTTTTTTCGTCTCTTTACACTATTACTTTTCGCTTACAGTTTAATGTTTATCATGAAAAATCATCACAGTCGTCGGTTATTCCATCGAGCGTACAACAGCATTCAACAACATTATATTTGAGAGGAAAACCTCGTCTGGTAAATAAAAGGGATATAAATAACCTTCAGCCGGCTATTCATTTACACAATAAAACAAGCACTTGGAGTAAGGTATGTATGTTTACTATCGATTGCTTAACATTCAATATTATCATTTCTTTTGATTATTTTTTAATTACTGATTGATGGTAACCAGTATCATGTTTTACAGTCTATCGTATTAATTAGACTTCATCTGTGAGATTACAATCTAAATCCGACAGATATGGTGCTTTTCTTAGGGAGCCATACCCTGAGCTTTTGACCTAAAGGTCTGATCCACAAGGCAGTGGAGCAATGTAAGGAGATGCAGTCCCATGGTAGCCGGTGACCAACAATTGGTTCATACGCCATTTGTTCCTTCAGGATACTGGAGCCCATGTGCACCATTGCTTTGGAATCGAGGTTTTCCAACCCCCCCCTCCTAAGTGAACTCTCCGTTTACACCAACCCGGTCAAAGCGCCATACATTCGCCTTTCGTCCTCTCAATTTCTTAAACAACACCCGCGCCACGAGAAAGCAGTGAGTAGGACTTCCCTGGCAGCGGTTGTCCAATTTAACTAAGATATTATTAGTATTAAGTGGTGAAACATTAGTAAAAGAATTCTGTTTCGTTTCTTTACTCATTGAAAAATATCATTTACCTGATGTACAAATTTTTTTTCGAACTATAAAATATGAACTTTATTTGAACATTTATATGTTGTATAAATAAAACTCATCAAGTATCAATCTTTTCCCACACTATCAGTTACATTATACACTCAGAATCAACTTTCTATAGATTTCCTATGGATATTAATTACTTTAGGCCTCCATCATTCTTACCATTATATGTCCATTATTAAAATTCATAGAAAATTAAAGTGTCATTGGATATAATATTTCCTGTTGAATCTTTTATAATATTTTGTTTGCTTCACTTGATTTCAGTTGTAACCTTTCTCAATCATATTGTTAAACTGTGCCCATTATTGTTCAGCTTGCTTAATTTTTTATTAGCAAAAAGAACATTTCCTTCAGTTTAACCACCAGTACTAAGAATAAAAGTAATACGATTTTGGTGCAATGTGAAATACATGAATATTTATTTAACATTTCGAAGTTTTCTTAAGAACCATTGACTATGCACTCTAGTTTCATCAGTGGATTATATTCAAATGTACTCTAATGGTTGAAAATTTCCATCATAACGAATTGAAAAATTCCTTTCTTTGGTTGATTCCATCTGAATTTTCATAACATAATGGAGTTACTGAGTAATTTTTTTTACATCGCAACTATCATTATGTGTATATTCCGAAGATGTTAACTGTTATATCCCGATGAGAATAATGAATGATAACTGTTGAGATCTCTTTATGGACTAATATTATACTTATATTTTTATTGTGTAATTTTTAAGTAACTAAACTATTCATATTCGTGTTCCTCTTATCATAAGCTTTATTTTGACCTGTGAACTATTATTATACAATTTACCATTCTTGATTTATGTACAATTACTATCAATTACTATCTCCCACATTCACAACCACTTTTGGCTAAATCTTGTACAAATGTTGTTTTATCAGAATGAGTTTTGTGGAGATTTTAGTAAATTTCACAAGTTGAAATCATGAGTCAGTTGAAGCTAGACCACTATTGAAAACCTGGAAGCACTGGACGGCCGTTTCGTCCTAGTATGGGACTCCTCAGCAGTACGCATCCACGATCCCGCACCGCGCGGGGCTCGAACCCAGGACCTACTAGGACGAAACGGCCGTCCAGTGCTTCCAGGTTTTCAATAGTGGTCTAGCTTCAACTGACTCATGATTTCAACTTGTGAAATTTACTAAAATCTCCACAAAACTCATTCTGATAATAATCATCTGCTCACTAGTGACTGACTTCAGGAGAACCTTCTGGAGTTCTAGTGAGAAGCCGTCACCAGTGGAGTTCAACCAGGTCTGTTGTGAGATATCAGCTCACTGAAGACATTGGTGTTCGATGGCGCAACTTCGTGGATTGGTTGAAGTTAAATGTTGTTTTGTATTCTATGGTAGGATGTGGTCTGTTTGGTTAGTATATAAACTCAATGTGTTTGAAATACACGATTTTATATCGCAAAGGTTGAGATCGGTGTTCTGAACTTAACAGGCAGGGCTAGGCAGGTAGCAGGACCGATAAAGACTCTAGACTGCTCGTACGGGTTTTATGTGTCATTGGTCCGATCGATAATTCACTGTTCTCTAATTGACAGTATCATTACGTTATACATTAATAGGACACACAGGCCACAAGTTATAACATTAACCAGATTATAATATTTAAACACAGATTATGGTTACATATTTACGTAATTATTACTTTTCTATTCAATTTATATTATATTCCAGGGTATTTTACTGCTTATCAGCTCTTCAATTATAGCAATTCTCTTAATATTATTTGTTGCTATGAAACGAATTCATCGTGTTTATTTAAAATCAGATCAGTTTGAATCAAAAATTCAAAATTTTCAAATAACATCATTTGATCATATTAATTCATTAAAACAAAACTATTTAATAAAACAACAAATGAATAAATTACAAGATGGAAAACAGTTAGAAACTAGTGCTGAAAAATTAAGAAATTCAAAATTGAATGATTATAATTCTCAAACGATAATAAATCATCATCAACAGCAACAGCAACAACAACAACCACAACAACAATATGAAAATGAACAGAAAGTTCAACCGATACGAATTACCCCAAATCCATTTATGAATCAATCTAATATGAAAGAATATGAAGCCAAAACTATTTTATTGGATGAAAAAGTATTTTAAAATGTTATTTATCAATTATTGATTTTATAAAATTGTTTTTATGATTAAAACATATCATCATTCTTCTAAACATGATAGAACATAGTCAATAGTTGGTTAATTACCTACTTACTTACTTACTTACGCCTGTTATTCCCGATTGAGCATAGGCCGTTGACAAGTAATAACCAACACACTCTGTCTTGAGCCTTCCTTTCGAGTTCTATCCAACTATTGTTTATTCTTCTCTTGTTTGTCGCCATTTCTCGGCGTAATGTGTTCTTTGATCTTCCTCTTTTCCTTTGGCCTTGAGGATTCCATGTGAGTGCTTGTCTTGTGACGCACTTGGGTGCTTTCCTCAATGTGTGTCTTATCCACTTCCAGTGCTTCCTCCTTATTTCTTTCTCCGCTGGAATCTGGTTTGTTCTTTTCTATAGTAGGTTGTTGCTGATAATGCCTGGCCAACGGATCCGAAGTATTTTGCGTACATTGGTTGGTTACCAAATAACAACTATTAAGACCATAGTCTTGATTGAATTGATTTAGTCCAAATGAATTAGATTCTCGGGAACTACGTCTAGATTTTAGGTGGTCAGAGATATCTATCAAGATACCCTAAACCTAAGTTTTGTGCTAGGTGTGAACCGTTAAATTCATTTGGTATTGTTTGTTTGAATCTTCCCATTGATGTTTAGAACTGCAATTGATTAGTCTCTTGTTAGCATATGTGCATCCTATGACGACTGCCTCGACATTGCCTTAAATCACAAGCTTTATAAGAAAAGATGAGTAGTGGATAGCAGTGGAATCCAGGACGTGCGTTTCGTCCTATTTGGGACTCGTCGTCTAAATATACCTGCATCTCAGAGGTGATGTTCACTCTAGGACTCGAATCCAACTCAATCAAAGACTTCCACTTCCTTTTGTTAGCTATTATATGTATAAATAATTAACTAAATAACTTGGAACTTTCAAACAAAAGGTAAGGCGTTTAATTCTTGAATATTCGACTTCAAGATTAAAGTAGTTTTTACGAATCCTAATAGTTTAATGTAAATAAGTTTTCCATTTAGTTTGATTCAATTAACCATGTTGAAAATACTGTAAAAGTTTTAATGGCGTTAAACTTGCTGTTGAAATTGCCACAGCTTAATTCTAATAGTATAAAGTTATTCAAATAATATGTAATAAGGAGTTGAAGTTAGAAATTAACACCGTTGAATGCCGGCTAGCTCAGTGGTCTAGAGCTAAAGCGTTCGCGTGCGAGGCCGTATGTTCTGGGTTCGAGTCTCTCTAGGCGGGATCATGGATGAGCACTGCTGAGGGGTTCAATACTTGGACGAAACGGCCATCCAGTGCTTTCAGGTTTTCCATAGTGGTCTGACTTCAATTGAGTAATGAATTCAACTATTAAATTATATTATCTATAATCTCACTTTAATATGTAAAAGTACGGAGTGATATTCAGTAAATTCAGTGACTGAATTCTTTTCATTTGAATCATTGATGGTAATATGTTCTCAGTAGTATGTAAACATCTTGGTTTTACACTAAAATTAAATGAGTTTTCACACTGTATATTTCATTAGAACAATACACATAAATAAACAATGTTGGTTTCAATTAAATCTTCATCAAGATTTACTCTAATATACGGTAATATTTATACAAACTTCATAAATACTATTAAATCCACAAAGTCAATTTATGAGTCAATGATAACAACGTAATAAATTATGTAACTCAACATAATGAGTAGTAGGTATAGATTGATGATGATTTAATGTCAGATGTACTCAGTGATTAGAATAATAAAAGACTGAATAAATAGCTCGAAATAGGAAGTAGGTGAAAACTGAAAAGATCGTCATTACGAATTATTATCTGGCTAAGAGAGATACGTGGTGGTGGTGGGGGGGGGAGGGTTCAAATTTCTATAATTTCCTATAACCCCGTTACCGTAAATTACTCAGAACCACTTTAATTTTATTTATCAGCTAATGCCTGTAGTGGTTTAATATTTTACACTACGTTATATAACAGTAATATTTAACTAACATATTTTATTCTGTATACTGTTCAATATTTCTTGATAGCGTTATGATGCCTCTTTGAATATGTCATCATCAATATATAACAATAATAATAATAATCTTAAAAGTGGATCACCAATTGTATGTAATCCAACAATTCAATTATATGAAAATCCATTAAGATCTGATGAAGAAGATGATGATGATTTTCAATGTTCATGCAGTGAAAATGATACTGATGATCATATAACTTTAAATAATTAATTCAAGAAAGAAAAGAATCTAAATGAATTCAACAAAGAAGAAGTTGATGAAGAAGAAGAACAACAATAACAACTCATATAAGACAACAGTTAAACAAAAACAACATGGACACATTGAATTTCTTTACTCTACTCATTTATTTCTAATAATTATGATAAATAATCTTTAAAATGGCATTTAGTTTAGTCTTATCTTTCACATTCTTGTTCAGTCAATATGTTTACTTTATTATTGATTAAGTTATTTATCAAATTTTTTTTTCTTTTTCAATATGTTCTCTTATCGGTGATCTTTGTCATAAAAAGGGGAAAAAAAATTTCTTTTTCATCATTTATTATTTACACTTTATACCCCCTACCCCATCACAATCACCATCACCACCATTTATACCCTGCATTACTCACATATTACATTTTTGCACTGTTTACAATATTTTGGTAATCATAGTCATACATAATGAGTTTCAAAGTACATTCACTACCTGTATGGCATTTATTCGTTATTTAAAAGAACTAATTTTTTTTCCATCTTGCTGAGGGGGGGGGTGGCTGGATGTTCTTTCGATATAATTTTTAATTAGTATTATTTATTTTAATCGTACTTTTATTCATGAATTTAGTTGTTCAAATTGTTTAGTATTTAGTTCACTATTCTATACATTTTTATCATATCATCAAATAGATATATATATATAAACGTATACATTCATTCGTATGTTATTCAGTTCATTGTTGTTAGTTATTAACGTTTTATGAGAAAAATGCTATCATGAGTTTGTCCATGTTGAATGTTCCTTTTAACATCCAGCTGATGAGTTCCAAATGGGACGAAACATGCGTCCTGAATTTCACTGTTAGCCACTAATTCATCTTTGCTTTAAAAGCTTGTGACTTAAGGCTATATCAAGGCAATCCTCACAGAATGTACATATGCCAACATGAGACTGATTAATTGCAGTCCTAAATAACACTGGAAAGATACAAGTAAAACAATACAAACTGAATTTAACATATTTAATATTTATGAGATTTGATTTTGTTTCAGTATCTAAAAAATTTAGCCTATTATGATGATAAATCTGTCAAATTAAGAAATTGAAATTAGGTGAATCAAAAATAATAATGCAAAATAAATACAACTACTCCGTAAAGGACTAATCATCTAGCTAATATTTGTCATGGTTCTGATCACTGTTATGTAAGTTAAGTAAGCAGTACCATATTTCTGTTATTTTTGGATGTACTGCTAATTCAGGATTACACGTAGAAATCACTGAAGTTCCTACAGCCCAGTAGCATAATTTTGAATATTATCAAAGTTATTGAACAGCTTATATATGGTTAAATTATAAGATTCATTGATGAGAACAAGCTATTCCATGAAGCGCAATGATGGTACAAAAAGATGGTAGACCTCGCAAGAAACTGAAATAACTAAGCAGACTGTTGGGACAAGAACATATATATGCACTATTTACCGATCTCGCTAAAGTATATGAGGATTATCATACTTATGAAGCGATTGCAAATCAGTTTCACAGGTGTACAACGAGAAACTCATGTTCTCAAAATTCTGCGACAAGATCGATTAAATATAATTCAACTGGATAAAATCGATTGTAACGATATTTCACTCTCAGTACACTTTTATTTATTTATTTATTTATTTGAACACATAAATATTGGTACAAGAGAGCGCCAATATATATGCGCCACACAAAACAATGGGAATTCGAAGAGAAGTAGAAAGAAAAAAAGAAAAAAAAAACTAAGGAACGCAAAAGAAAAAGAGAGTAATGACGAAGAGGTACAATCAGAAGAAATCTTTCAGTTAAGTAAGATACAACCACTTTTATGAAGAAAGTAAAAGAAGGTTACAGCAGGATCGCCACTGGCTTCTATTCTGAGCCATATCTGATAACGTCTCTAGCCACTGTGTTGCACCATCTCTCGGACCCCAGCCAGGGAGTCGTGAAGGACCAACACAAGCCAGTCCTTTGCAGCTTTCTTTCATGCCACGACACCATGTCATGCACTGACCACCTCTCCGCTTTTTCCAACCAGTCCCAGAGTCGGCAAATAATGCACGACGTGGAATTCTCTGGGACGACATTCGTAGAACATGTCCAAGCCACCGAAGTCGGTGTTTCAAGATGGTGACACCAATTGAATTATCATCTCTGTGCCCGAACACACGATGCCGAACCTCTGCATTACTGACATGGTGTTGCCACTGAATGTCAGCAATCCTTCGGAGACAGCGATGATCGAACACAGAGAGTCGTCTAACGTCCTCAACTCGGAGAGGCCAGGTTTCACAAGCATAGAGCAAAACTGCTCTCACCGACGCGTTGTAGATCCGGCCTTTTACAGCCAGACTAACATCACGAAGGCGCCAAAGGTGGCCCAGATTGGCATAAGCCGCTCTGGCTTTCACTATTCGTGCATTGATCTCATCACTCACACCCCCACCAGCACTTATGTAGCTACCCAGATACACGAACTTCTCGACTACGTCTATCTGCTCACCATCCAGAGTGAGTACAGGACTAGAATCCTGCCAGTCTTGTAGAAGTACTTTGCACTTCGAAGGTGCAAAGCACATACCATACCTACGGACATTGATTGCCAACTGATTAAGTGCGGATTGCATGCCTTGGGCATTATCGCACAGTAAGACAATATCGTCCGCATACTCAAGGTCGAGAAGTCTTTCTCCAGGCAACAGATCCACACCACCATTACTTACATTCATCAGAGCTGTTTCCAGAATGTCATCGATGGCAAAGTTGAAGAGGAATGGTGAGATTGGGCAACCCTGTCTAACCCCACTGCTCGAATGGAACGATGGAGAGAGGTGGTTGTATGCCCTCACTCTGCCTGAGGTGTTTTTATACAGGGCTTTTAGGATGTTAATAAACTTCTCAGGCACACCCTTCTTCAATAGACAATCCCAGAGAACAGTCCTATCCAACGAATCGAAGGCAGCCCTGATGTCAAGAAACACTACGATTGTTGGCCTTTGAAAAGTATGGCGGTGTTCTAACATTTGGCGGAGGGTGAAGATATGATCAATACATCCTCGACCAGAACGAAACCCAGCCTGCTCCTCGCGAGTCAATCTTTCTCGGGTTTTGAACAACCTACGAAGAATGACGGAAGCCAATAGCTTGGACGCAATCGGAAGTAAACTTATCCCCCGATAGTTGTTACAAGAACGACGTGAACCCTTTTTAAAGATAGGGACAACTATCGACTCATTCCATGACGTTGGTACACTCTCTAGATCCCAAACCTTTGTAAACAACGTCGTCAATTCCTTAGTCAAAAAGTCACCACCATCTTTAAAAAGAGCCGGAGGTAAGTCATCTGGGCCAGGTGATTTGTAACGCTTCAAGAGTTGGAGTTCCTTGCGGACTTCCTCCTCATTTGGTGGATCAGTCGTCACCGGCCATGGAGGGCAGGACAGTCTGACCGATGTTGCCGGAGCAGCAGGCCAGTTGAACTGCCCTTCGAAAAATTCTGCCCATCGTCCAAGACGTCGATGGATGTTAGTGATTGGCATCCCATCATCCTCGCAGATTGTTTCACTCACACCAGACTTCTTGCTGCCAGTGGCTCGGATGAGTTGGAAGAGCTTCCGGTAGTTACCAGATGCAGCTGCTGCTTCCAGCTCATTAGCACGCATCGACCACCAGGCTTCTCGGTCCTTACGCAAGCTTTGCCCGATTTCCTTACGTAAAAACCTTCGTTTATGGTCAAACTCACGGTTACCCGGAGTAGACCGACGGGCTTCAATGAGTTGTAAGGAACCAGAAGAAACCCAGTGCTTAAAAGCGGGACGTTTCGCAAACCCACAACTGACTGTTCCCGCCATTTTCATGGCGTCATGCAATTGCAACCAATGCTCATCTATACTTTTCGGTGGAGTGGTAGCTAGCCTAGAGGCTAGCTCGGTTCGATACTTACTTGCAACAGAAGTTGCAACCAGCTTGCTAACATCAATCCGTTGATGGCGTTCACTTCGTTGTCCACTGAAAAGTAAGGCAAGATTGGCGCAGACCAAGGCATGGTCAGAGTCCAGATAGGTACTCCAAAAGGAGCGGCAGTCTTGTACACAACCACGCCAGCGGTAGCTGATCGCGATGTGATCAATCTGAGTCCAGGCTTGAGATGCAGAGGGAGGACGCCAGGTGGCACATCGGCGATGACTGTGCCGAAAGTTAGTGCTAGCCAGAAACAGGTTGTGGTCTGCGCAAAGTTGCAGTAGACGGTCCCCGTTATCTGACCTGCGACCAACGAGTCCCCATCGGCCACCTAAACGACTCTCTTCTGTGCCTAGACGCCCGACCTGAGCATTCAAGTCTCCGGCTAGTACTACAATATCTGTCGAACGCACTTTCTGGAGAAGAACTGATAACTGGTGGTAAAACTCATCCTTGATTGCATCCGGGCTGCAATCTGTCGGGGCATAGGCGGAGATGACGAAAAGACATCGTTTCTCACGCCGATTTCTTCTCACTTTGATGGAACTTTCTAATCTAACAGCACATAACCGACTGTTAATGGGGATCCAATCGACTAGTGCTGCCTCAGCTCTAGCGCTTAGTGCGACACCAACGCCAGCAAAACCAGACGAAGATGCCACAGGGTCCCCGGATAAGCGCACGTAAAACAAGCTTTTCGAAGCGACAGATGGAGATCGAATTTGTAGTACTTCGCCAGAGTCTTGAATACGGGTCTCGGATAGACAACACACGTCGATATTAAGACTTTCCAAAGACATAGCCAGCCCTATCTGTTGTCCGACCTGCATAAATGTGCGAACGTTGAAGGCAGCCAGTTTGAATGGTGCACGTGGTTTCAGAAAATCTGCTTCAGTCCTCGTATTCGGTGGTAACATACAATTTTCAACCGGACAGTGACTCGAGAACGTTTAGATACAGTCGGAATTCCACCAAAGACGAGCCTCTGTATAAGTATAAAAGAAGGTGAATAATGTGGAAAATAATAATAATAATGATAATAATAACAATAATGACAATAATAGTAGTAATAATAATATTAGTATTAATAATGACAATAATTGAAGTGATCATAATTTGAATCAATTGATTGTTTTTCAAAGCGACAAAAGTAGTTTCCATAGACATAAACAGTTCATCATTTGTGTGTGGGCTGTGATACTGCCCGGGTGCCCAAACCGAAGCAGGTGGTTATCTTAGGGGGCCACTCCCCGAGCCTTTGACCTAAAGGTCTAACCCACAAGGCAGTGGAGCATCGTAAGGAGATGCAGTCCCATGGTAGCCGGTGACCAACGATTGGTTCATACGCCATTCGTTCCCGCAGGATACTGGAGCCCATGTGCACCATTGGTTTGGAATCCGGTTAAAGCGCCGGACATTCGCTTCTCGTCCTCTCATTTTCGTAAACAACACCCCCGCCACGAGAAGGCAATGAGTAGGACTTCCCTGGCAGAGGCTATATACGCGTGGCCGTGTGAGAGTATTTCGAGAGGGAGAGCGGACTCTCCCCACTCTCGGCCGTACCAGGGCATTCAGGGGGCAGTACACTACTACTGAATATCTGATAGAATGAGTTAGTCTTAGAAAAGCTTTACTTTTTAGAAGTCAGCTTTGTGTGTTGACTGCCAAATTGTTGTTAACACTGTTTATGACCTGGTTCCTGCGTTTACTGTAATAAAATACAACA